TCTCGTTTCTCATGTAGCATGCACAATGCTTCCACACTGGTAATTGCACATCACACAGTCTTGACCGCTTTGCTGGGGCATAGAATGAGCCGACTGTCAATACGGCACTTAGCAGAGATGCTCTCACTTTGATTGGCTGGTGGCAATGGCAGCGTTGCTGGTGTTGCTGCTGGTATCGCAGTAGTCGTTGCTGTCGTTGCTTTTTGCTGGTGCCCATGGATACGCGGAGCTGTGGGGCTGTACAAAAGGTGAAAATCATGCATTCTCTGAGAGCAGACGTGAGCTAAGACACCTTCTGCTGGAAAGCGACGAACTCGTGCACTCTCTTACTAAGGAGACGAGTTCACACACCCGCTTGTCGAAAAATGAAAAGGACACTATGGCCGAGTGGTTAAGGCGGTTGACTAGAAATCAATTTCCCTCTGGGAGCGCAGGTTCAAGTCCTGCTGGTGTCGAACATTTTGCCGCCTCTCCGCACCGTGTCTGGTTTTCTGCGGACAGCGAGCCATCTTTATGGTGGCCATATTCGTGGATACTGCTCGCGAGACAGACGCATGCCGATATGCTCGATCCAAATAAGATCATAATCACAACGGTGTCAACAGAACGGGGAGGGGCTTACAGACTGTAGCTGTGTCTATCCGCTTTTGGAGCGCCACTTTCTTAATCAAATAGGGTCCATCCGAGTGTGTATTCGCCAATGGCATGATCTCGTCGTGCCTTAATTCGATCTCCTTAACTCACTTGAGCATTCACTCATTCGCTCATTCACTCATTCAATCGCTCATTCGCTCCATCTTCCTCCCCACAGTCTATTGTACCTTTTGCAAATTATACAGTCACCTTGTAAGTCAGCCAGCACATATGCATTGCATTCAGTGAATCATCGCTGCGGCTCTAGCAGCATCTGCCGGCATCAGCCGAGATACATCCTTTTTCACGAAACCAAGATGCATCCTTTGAAACGCGGCAGTGAATATCTCTGTGCTCAGGTCTGCAGTCTGCGCAAATTAATGCACCGGTTGATGCTTGAGATTGAGCTGCTGGCATTTCACAGATCCATTTGCTGTGTGTGAATGCAGCGAGAGTGAACGATGAACAGCCAAAAAGAGCGGGAGAGCGGCGATTGAATGCGGTCATGCACGCGTTGCGTACTGGAGGGAAAGGCAGAGAGCCGGC